AACTCCATCATTGGAAGCATCCACCTCCACCACAAACTGCCGTAGTGAATCAGGAGTGATGAGAACAGGAGCAGAGGTAAACCGTCTTTTCAATTCCTGGAAAGCTTTGTCGGCCTGTAGAGTCCACAAAAACTGAACATGGGTTGAGGTGAGTGAGTGGAGAGGTGCAGCTATGGAGCTAAAATGTCTTATGAAACGTCTGTAGAAGTTAGCAAAACCGAGAAATTGCTGTACCTTCTTCCTGTTGGTGGGTGTGGGCCAATTTGCGACAGCACTGACCTTGCTTGGATCCATCTTGACCTGGTCCGGAGCAATGATGAAGCCCAGGAATGAGACAGTGGTCTTGTGAAATTCACATGTCTCCGCCTTCACGAATAGTTGGTTTTCCAGAAGGCCTTGGAGGACCTGGCGGACATGCTGAACATGGGACTCTTCATCAGGAGAGAATATCAATATATCATCCAGATAGACAAACACAAAATGATTCAAATATTGTCTGAGCACGTCATTCACAAGAGCCTGAAATACAGCAGGAGCATTAGTTAGCCCAAATGGCATTACTAAGTATTCATAGTGGCCACTGGGGGTATTGAATCCAGTCTTCCATTCGTCCCCCTCCCTTATCACCAAGTGATAGGCATTCCTCAAGTCAAGTTTAGTGAAGATCTTAGCTCCTTTTAACAGTTCAAAAGCAGTGGAAATGAGGGGGAGAGGGTACCTGTTTTTTACCGTTATATCATTCAGGGGAGAGTAGTCTATGCAGGGTCGGAGGGATCCGTCTTTTTTACCCACGAAGAAAAATCCGGCGCCAGCAGGAGATGACGATGGACGAATGAGGCCCGCCTTCAGAGATGAGTCAATGTAATCCGTCATAGATTGTCTTTCAGGACCAGAAATTGAGTATAGACGTCCCTTGGGAATGGGGGCACCCGGTAGTAAGTAAATTGCACAGTCATAAGGTCGATGAGGAGGCAACGTAGAGGCCCGAGTCTTACTGAAAACCTCCCTCAGGTTGTGGTAACAGGAGGGAACATTGGGCAGGTCTGGTAAGTCAGAGGCATGGTCATGAGTTACTTCCTTCGTCTCCACCTCACTACCTGAAGTAACCCTTCCTACAGACAGCCCTTCAACTTCTCCTGGTGAAACCAAACATGTATGATTACATTCTCTTCCCCAACCCTTCACCCTACCAGAACGCCAGTCAATGTGAGGGTTATGTCTTTTCAACCATGGGAAGCCTAAAATCATAGGGTGTTGTGAGGAGTCGAATAAATGGAATGTCATGAATTCTGTGTGGTTGTGATTTATGATAACCTGGACGGGTTCTGTGTGGTGAGTGACTTGAAACAATAATCTTCCATCAAGGGCACTGGCATTTAAAGGTTGAGCTAAGGGCATGGTGACAATGTTCAAGCTTTTGGCAAAATTCCAGTCCATAAAACTTTCGTCTGCTCCTGAATCAATGAGAACATTCTGTGTTAAGGTCTGCTTACCTAATTTTACTTGGATAGGAGTCAGCGTACGAGGAGAGTAGTCAGAAGTTAGTCGGCTCACCAGCGCCCTCCTCTTGCCTTGGGAGCCCCGTCTTTTAGTGAGCAAGCGGCCATCAGGTGTCCACGATGCCCGCAGTAGAAACACAGGCCCTGGCGGAGGCGCCGTTCCCGCTCCTCCAGTGAAAGTCTTGCTCGGCCAAGTTGCATGGGTTCCTCTGATGTGGTGGATGGCGTTGTCAAAGGAGGCTTGATCCAGACCCCTGGAAACGAATCCTCCCTCATCCGGATGCCACGAGGAGGCCCCCTGGAGCTTGGTGAACGAACTGCAGGATGTTCTCTTTCTTTTTGTCTATCCCAGAGCCTATTATCTATTCGTATAGCCAGAGCAATCACAGAGTCTAAATCTTCTGGAAGATCTAATGGGACTAAGTGATCTTTGACAAGGCCTGAAAGTCCATTTACAAAGGCGTCCAGCAAGGCCAGATCATTCCAGCCACTGTCTGCTGCTATTGTCCTAAACTCTATGGCATAATCAGACACTCTTTGATTTCTTTGCTTGAGTTGAACTAGAGCTTTAGCCGCTTCTCTCCCTGGCGCTGTACGATCAAAAATCTTTTTAAGGGAATCAGTAACAGTCCGAGTGATCTGCAAAGGGGAGAGTCTCTAGCCCATTCTGCTGTAGCCCACGCTGCTGCTCTACCAGTCAAGTGTGTTATCATGAAAGCTATTCTAGACTGGTCTGTTGGAAAAGCAGAAGGCTGATGTTGATAATGCAGGTCGCATTGGACTAAAAAAGGACGACAGTCACCTGAGTCACCGGAGAATTTCTCTGGAGATGCGAGACGAGAGCATGAAGAAGAAGTAGGTCCTTGGATCACAGCCTCAGGCAGGGGTGCAGCCGCGGAAACAGTTTGAGATCCAGCTTCCAGGTGGGCAAGGACACGAACAAGCTGATCTGCCAGGTGGTTTACTTGGCTGTTCACAGATGTTTGGAAGCTTTCTTGACGACCACTCAATTCTCTCACTCCCTGGTCAATTGATTTCAGCTGATCGTCATGCTGAGACAAAAGCGTGCCTTGTGAGCGCAGAGCTGCTCTGAACCTGTCTGGGTCGGCTGGGTCCATTCTTTGGTCAGTTCGTACTGTTAAGAATGTCACGAGGCTCAGGACCCAAATGCACAACACCAGAAACAGATTAGAATTAACAAGGTCTTTTAATTAAGGTCAAATACAAAACGCTCACTTGGAGGATCAAAAACTCTAAACCAAAAAACATCTACATGACTATCAAAAATATACTTCACACGATCAAGGGATGACTGGCAGGCTTGACGAGACAAGACGAACTGACACAAGACAAAGGGAGACGCAGACTATATATACACACTAGGTAAGGGGACACAGGTGGCAACAATTAAGGGAGGGGCTGACAATCACACTGGTGGGAAAAACACACCAGGGCAGGAATGCTCTGAAACGAGAGGGAAAGGTTACTACAAAATAAAACAGGAAATCACAAGACAAGGCAAAAGACAAAAGGACTGAACTAAATAAATTAACTTAACACAACTGTCTAGACACCACAGTTAACTGTAAAACCAACACATTCTCACTCCCAACTCGGCCTATGTTGACGTTATGTCAGGTCCCTGTCGTCACTTTCCAACGCAAGGGGAGGTCCTTTAGCGTTGAGTTTCAACTATCAGGGAGTCCCATTGACTTGCATAGAGCTCCCTGAACGTTGTTAATAGACAAGTTGGGATCGTAGCGAAATGCTCGCCGCAGATCCACTCTCACAGCGTTTATCAACCTTTTCTAACTCAATATCAAGCCACACTTACTGTGTTTACTTCTTTATTTTAATTGAATAATGTCGGACTTTTGTTGCCGTCAGTTAGGGGGAGTGTAGGGGCTCAGAAAACTGAAATCTGTATTGTTTCATCGTTTATTCCTTCTAATTTTGTATTCTTTTCTAAACCACACACTGTTATTTACTCAACAATAAGACACAATTATCCTTGTGTTTATTTATTTGTTTGATTGTATAATGTCAGACTTTTGGAGTCCGTCAGGACCGAGGGTCGGAGCAGCTCATAGTAGTTGCTCAAACCCCGTGATTAGTCCTCAAGCTCGGTGTCCGGACTCGGTGAGTCCGGACGGACTCCAAAAGTCCGACATTATACAATCAAACAAATAAATAAACACAAGGATAATTGTGTATTATTGTTGAGTAAATAACAGTGTGTGGTTTAGAAAATAATACAAAGTTGGAAAAAACGATGAAACAATACAGATTTCAGTTTTCTGATCCCCTACTCTCCCCCTAACTGACAGCAACAAAAGTCCGACATTATTCAATTAAAATAAAGAAGTAAACACAGTAAGTGTGGCTTGATATTGAGTTAGAAACAGGTTGATAAACGCTGTGAGGAGACGAGCGCGCAGTGCCTGTTCACTGTGTTTACCTTCAGAATCATTAGAAGGCTAAAGAGCGGTGTAGCTGATGTGTTTTAACCACACACACTTCTACACACACACACACACACACACACACACACACACACACACACACACACACACACACACACACACACACACACACACACACACACACACACACACACACACACACACACAACACGATTTAAACGCAGACTTTTGTTCCTCCATGTTTCGTTGTTATTGTTTCATTGAGCGTCCCGCGAATTTTTTTCAAACGCTCCCTTTTTTGGTCCATCTGCGGCGGTAATAGGTTGTGTGCGCTGTGATGATTCGGCTGTACCAATAATTTCAATAAGTAATCCGAAATGTATTCACTTCAGGTTTACGAAAGTAACTGTAATCAGATTACTCGTTTTTCAAATGTAACGCGAGCTGAATACAGTTAGGCCTACTTTTGATTTTTGTATTCTGATTACTAACGCCGTTACATGTATTCCGTTACAACCGGTTACAACCCAACCCTGCGCTTCAGCCACTGCGCGACCGTGGCATGGGGGTGTTCTTTTATCCAGACGACCTCATATGGACAGGTCCAGGGAATGGGCAATGTTTCACACAGCCCAAATGATGAGGGATTTGGTGGCAGGTTAGCCTTCAGTCAGCCGCCTATGTCGCGGTTTTTGCAGGGGGGTCAGGAGGCAGCGCCCAGTAGTTCCACAATAACTAAATATGTAGGCTAGTACATGTTCTAGACATTATTTGTAATAATCACAAAACACATGTACTACCCAATGGCATTGTGAGGCTGAACAAACGGACCTTTTGACTATCTAAATGTAGTCTTTAAAAAAACAAAAACATTTAGGCCTACTGACTTTTTTAGGATAGCTTAAAGTAATGTTGTAAAATTACAACAGCGGGTGAGTATTTGTTGTTGGAGTGTATTGTTGATGTTTTTAATGTCCACCAGGTGTCACGGTTGTCACATTTTTGGCAGCAAACTTTTCAGGACTACTGAAGGAGAGGAGGGGTCACTGGCACTGAGTGAAGAAATGTGCCTCCCGGATTTGTTGTCATACACACACCGACTGTCTTTACTAATGGACTATGTCTAGGTCTCATACTGAAACCACCTTTATTTAAGTCCTCCTTTCACGTCCAGCTAGTGTAATTCAGAAGTAGCGTATAGTTGTGTGTGAGTGTGTGGTTACAGGCATGGAGGATGCACACAGTTACAGTTAGGTAAGCAGGGTGTCGACAGGTGAAGAAAACGGGGCTACACCTTCACGGTATTTTACCTCTTCCTGCGGATAAACCTCCCCTGCCCTCCGGGTTCACTTCTCTGCTTTACCCGCTTCTCCTGTTTTCATCACCGGACTCCTCTTCGGGGTTTACCTCGGTAGCAGAAATGTCGGAGGAAAAAACGGATATTTCCAACGAACTGTTCGGTAAGATAACGTTTGTTGTTTGTCGATCAAGTATTGTAACTTGAGCTGACTAAGTCTTTGTTGTTGCCTAACATAGTAAACAACTTAGTTTAACCTTTGCATCATGTCAGGTAAAATTCAGGCTTTCAGTTCACGACTAAATGTCTGAAAACGTCATATAAACACACACAAAGCTTACTTAGGACAACATTAACATTTATCATACTATTGACACTTCAAAGTATGACTAAGTTATCAAAACTGGGTTTAAGCCACTCATAAAAAGTTATTGCATAATTTTGAAGCTAAAACTAGTCTTACATTGCTGACTTAACGTTACAACCAATGTCATAGGGATAGGAATAGGCCTACAAGCGAATTAGAGGTACATGTCAGGCTGATTAAACAAGACTCTCAGTAATATTTTAGATATGCTAAGTCCTACTACAAAATGTGAAAAAATACGACAGAGTTCAATAAAATATAATGATTTAATACCACAGACACAGCCTTGACTATTATGGGAGTACACTTTTCATTCTACTGGGTGTCCCTGTTAATTCACCTTTCTTCAGTATTGCTGTGGCTGCATTTCAGTATGCAGTATTTTTATGCCTTGAGGGCTAGGCAGCTACCTGAGAGCTGCTCCTCTGTGCCACTTCCTTATCTGAAGGGGGAAGCTTTGGGAAAGGGGTGTGCCCTGTGAAATTCCTTTGGATTGTGAGATATTATCAACCCAGACTGCCTGGACGACTGAGTGTCAGAAAGAAGGAGAACAAATGTAAATCACTGCGGTTTTTGTTATGGAATGTAGCCTAAACTGTTGACTTTAAGTTAAAAATGGCACTAATGCAGCCTGGTCGAATATCTTAGTTGGTTTGACCTAAATGGTCCTTTGCAGGGTGATTGTCTAACTAAAACAGTTGACATCTGGTATTTTTCGTCTAATATCTTAATGTGTAATTGACCAAACTGTACTAGACAACAGTAGGTAATGGCATTTAAGTAATACAGAGAGATGGAAGAAAGTACTCATATTATTTACTTAAGTAGCAATACTACAGTGTACTTTTAAAAGTAAAAGTCCTGCATTCAAAATTGTTTAAAGGGGACCTATCATGCTAAATGCACTTTTTAATGTCTTTTATACATAAATATGTGTCCCCGGTGTGTCAGGGAACTCACAAAGTGTCAGAAAAATAAAACCCTCTCTCTTTTCCTCCGTGCGCAAATCTCTAAAAACGGGGGTACAACGGAGCTGATCCAGATTTGCCATCCGATATGACATCAGAAACATCGCTGTATCAGAAACAATTCCCGACGTGTTTTGGACGTAATAGTCTTTGTTTACATTAGCAAGCATCGCTAACACTCAGAGCTAACCTGTACTGGAGAGAGCATGTGTGTGAAGAAGCAGGAAATAAAAAGGAACTCACCTTGCGGTAAACCCTCAAGAGAGAAAGCCTTTGAGCTCCATACTGTTTCAGAAATAATCCTTGATCTAATAATCCTTGATCTAATAATCCTTGCGTTTCATCACCGCAGCATTTTAGACAGTATCTGCCAGGTCCCGCATGAGCCGGCATAAGCTCGGCCCCCTCTTATACCCAGAATCAGCACTTTTGTAACAGGAGGAGAAATAGAGGGATATGAGGCATGGCTAGAATGGGTGATCTGTTTGGTTTTTTGACCAAAACACTTCATTGACATGTTTTTAATATTTTTGTATATATATGAGACCTATGCTATTGCTTAAAAATAGCCTGATAGGTGACCTTTAAGTAAAAGTACAAAAGTTGCAGAATGACCCAGTTAAGCACCATATATTTTTAATAAATGTATTATAATTAGTGATGATTTAATGTGTTCATCACTTCAATGTTGCACTTGGTAAAGGTGTTTTCTTTTCTTAAATGACTTTATATACTACTGCTTAACTCAACCTATATTAATATACAATAATGTATTATTTGATTTTATATTTTATATTAATTATCCAAAATCTGCAAAGTTAGGAACTTCAACTGTTAAATGAATGTAGTGAAGTAAAAAGGCAGCATTTGCCTACAAAATGTAGGGGAGTAAAAGTATAAAGTAGACTAATGTGAAAATACTCAAGTAAAGTACCTGCATTTTTTACTGAAGTACAGTACGTGAGTAAAAGTACTTTGTAACATTCCCCGACTGGAATACACCTTTATAAAACTTTCTTAAATGAAAAAATAATTCCAGGACTTTTGAGTTCAGAGTCTGTTCTCTTTATCATACTGTCATTAGGAATCAACAGCAAACCCAGTACTGGGTGGAGAGGCTGACTCACACACCCCGTGTTCTCTGTTACGGTGTCTGCCTCTCATTCTCACACTATGTCACTGGACGGACTGATGAATGGTGCTTTTTGTTGCTAGCTCCTGCTGATGTTTGTAAAAGGGCAGACCGACCTGACGCTGCTCATCAGCAGCAGTGAAAACTAAAGACGATTTGATCAGGGCTGGCCTTTATGTGGAGAGAGTGAAATGAAAAGTGGTATAGGATGGTGGACAGGGATGGGGGGGGTAATCGGATTTTTGGCACACACAGATGAGTGTCATACCAAAGCGAGTTAATCACTAGTTAGGGTTGATCATTCAAATTCAGAAATTTAATTTATAATATATTAGAAAGTAGCAAACTCCTATTTAATCCCAATTTCACCTACAGTCAACAACCCAGAGAGTTTCAGTTCACTATAACACAAATTATCAAAGAGCAGCAAGATTAGATTAGAACATATTATACTGGTTTGCTTGAAAATGACTAAAACTATACATTTAGCATCAATATAGCTCTGGATAAACCTTCTTTTGATCAACAAACTCAAATACTGAACCACGTTTTGCTTGTTTAGTCTGACCATCAGAGCTGATATCAGACAGTTGGGGCAAAAATAAATATAGTGTCTTAAGTCAGACTGAAGAACTAGGGATGTCCCGATCACCTTTTTTTGCTCCCGATCCGATTCCGATCATTTGAATTTGACAATCTGGCGATACCGATTTTTCCCGATGCGATCTTTATGCAATGCATTAAGAGAAAACAAAGGTAACGGATAATGGCTGGTCATCCAACGCGATGAATTCAGCTATCTTGGCTGTTATGTTTTTGGCCTTTTCACTGTTCTGGGGCAGTTTCTCTTTCCTTTTGAAAGTCTCTGAAAGTGTCGGTTGTTTCTGTGCCGTTACCTGAGTGGCCTCTGTGTACTCGTCGTGTTGTTGATGGTGTTTGTTTCTCAGGTGGCGTATTAGATTGGTCGTGTTGAACGTAGCTCTGTTCTTTCCACCACGCGGAACCTCCGCCTTGCAAACATTGCATCTGGCTGTTACACTGCCTTCGCTTTCAATTTTATAATACTGCCAAACTCCTGACATTTTCTCTGTCCTGACTCACGAGTCCCCATGCAAGCCCCACAGCTCCGTTTTGGCACTGGCTTTGGCAAGCCAAAGTTTCCAACCCTCTCACCAACCAGCAGCTTGGCTGACCTCGCCAACCCAGACTGCTGGTTCGGCATGCACCAGCTGCACATCAATCCAGCGTTTCTCTCACTGGATGGAGAGGATTGGGCTGCCAGTGAAGCATTCCAGATGGGTGCGGTGAATGTACATGTCATTAATGTTGTGAATGACTGTGCCGAGCATGGCGTCAAACTCACCTCAGACTTTGTGGCAGCAGCCAGGAGCGAGGAGCACCTGCAGAATGTGCTGCAGGCAGTTGAGCATGACCGCTCTAAACAGCCAAATCTGCGCCACTGCAAGCGCAAGCTGGACCAGGACTAGGACTCAATGTTGTTCTTTTTGTTCTTAAAGGTCCCATGTCATGGCCATTTCTACTGATCATATTTCCATTGTTGAGGTCTACTAGAATAGATTTAAATTGTGCAATCTTGCAAAATCACATTGGTTTCTCATACAGCATCTCTGTATAGTATGTGTATTTGCCACTCTCTGTCCTAAACGGCTTGTTAGAGCTCTTGCCCCCCCCCTCCCTGTGAGCCCACTGTGCTCTGATTGGTCGGGACTTTGTGAGGCTCGTTGCGAGGCTCGTTGCGAGGCTCGTTGCTGCTCGTTGCTGCTCGCCACTGCTGCGAGGAGTGGACAGGTTTCCGTGTCGGCGATACAGCGAGAACAAGCGAAACTCATCCTGAGCACACACACACACACACACACACACACTCACAGCAGAAGTAAAAACAATAAGTGTGGCTTGATATTGAGTAAGAAAAAGGTTTATAACGCTGTGAGAATGGGTCTGTGGAGAGCATTTCTCTGCGATCCTAACTCGTCTATTACCAGCGTTCAGGGAGCTCTATGCAAGTCAATGGGACTCCCTGTTAGTTAGCCAAGGGATCCTGGTGTGTGAGGTGCTCCGCGGATTGGTCCATGGTGCACTTTGAGGGTTTTTGACTCAACAGACCGTTCACATGCATTAAAACCTTCATAACACACAAGGGGACGGGTAATAACCTGAAAAGCATGACATGCCATGGGCCCTTTAAATAAATAAATGTTGTTCTCAAAAGCAATTTCTTGCATTTTTTAAATTGCCTAGGAAAACACCCCAAACAGCCAATTTTCATATTTTTCACATGCTGTGTTCCACCTCTAAATCTCAATGAATTTTCCCCAAACTTTGCGAAAGTTATTTTTAGGTGTGTCTGAACAAAATGCAACCTCAGACAGTTTGATATGTTGAGATTTAATTTTTGCATTGCAATTTGATGTACCCTAACGTCCAGTGGAGGTGTAGGATTTATAGTTTGATAGATATTACGAAGATGATTTGAGGTCTCGCCAGGAGAACGTGTATATGGGGCAGCTTGCATGTAAAGTTAGCGTGGGTGAAAACAGTATTTCCGGTCTCAAAGTTTTCATAATAAAACCGGAAGTATTCCCCACACTGTCAAATGATTACACAGTGATATCTGCATTACTCATCCACTAAAAAACATCAGTTTATCCTTGTTAATTACACAATATTGATTAGTT